GGGATGTTTGCTACAGACTCTAACAGGACTTCTCTCTTATTAACACCAGTAGCAGTGCTACTCCATAAAGGACGGCAGAAATTATTTTGAGTTCTTTTATTCAAGTATTTCTATATTCTCAGTTCTAGAGCAGGGAGGGTGAGGCACAGCCTCTATGTAGGAAGCATTTACAGGTGACGTCAGGGAGCACACAGCAAGGGGGTGACCTGCAGCTGGAGATAAACTGTCCTTTCTAAGAGGTGGGACAGAGCTTATGTCATCAGCCAGTGCAGTACACACATCACTGCAGCATCAGCCCTGCTGACTAATGCCCTGTTGTCCAGGCAAAGAAAGACAGCCTGGAAATGAAGCAGGCAAACTGCCATAAGGGCCTTGTGTCACTGAGAGGTCAAAAAGCCAGTCTGAGGTGTCCAAGTGAACATAGAGTTGGTCATGAAAGACAGTGGGAAGACTTGGAAGTAAAACTTTTTACTGTCTCACTGAGCAAGGAGGACAAGAAGTGACACAAGAGAGTAACTTATTATTTTCAAAATAATACTTGGAATAATTGAACCATCGAGAAAGTTATTTGAAGTCTTGACCTGGACAGAATAAGACTGTAAAGGGACTCAGTAATTGTGCTCAAAACTGAGAATAAAAATAAGGGGCAATAGAGCCTTATGTTTCAGATATAAGATCTCTGACACTATGCTATCATCGGAGACATTATGGAGCCCCTAATTAAAAACAAGGGTTGCTTGCAGGATTCCAGTGTGCAAGGAAAATTATTAAGAGAAACAGATCCAGCCCTGGAGAGATTAGCCAGCATCACAAAGAAGTCACTGATGAGTGCACAGACAACTATAGCACATGTCACTGGGACTCCAAAGCTCTCAGGTGAGGAGAGGGTACTGCCCAGCAATGTCTCTGGCAATACAGCAAGCAGGGCATGCTGTGTGGAGTACCACACAGATGTCTGTTTGCAAAACCTTGACAGCCAAGAAGGGAGGCTCCAGCAACCACTGTAACCTACTGCGCACAATGAGCACTGTGGGATGTGCCTGTGCTAACTCCCAGCATTTTTTTAAGTAGCGACCTAGAAGTTCCAGCAAAGATCTGACATTGTTTATTCAACATACGCTGAACATGTGGTAGACAGCCTTGCTTGAGCGAAGTCACAGAGCATGTCCTTTGGCCAAGCATGAGTGCCCACAGCAAATACTGTCAGACAGGGAAAGCAGTGAGCTGGCAGGGAGATAGACCTGACACATGGGAATAAAAAAAAAAATAAATACAAAAAAGCCAAACAAACTGGACAGATTGGTTTGCTTTTAATAACAGAAACGTGTACAGCCACCCCAGCTCATTGCCCCAGCTCCACCGAGACCAGTTGCCTTGGAGCAGCTTTCTAGGCTTTTGGAAGCCTTAAGTGTAAAGGGAGTTAGGTTGGAGGTTTTGATGTGGAGCAAAACAGCGGTGAAATCAGATTTGAGCCTGAATAATGAAAAAAGAAGTCTGCCTAAGAGAAATTCCTGGGAGAGAATTTTAAAAAAGCAGGAGACAGAGCTGGATCTGAGTAAGTCAGAAGACGTTATAGTCATGTTGGACATGATATGCTGCATAAAATAGTGTGCGACAACAGGTCAGAAACTTGGTGTGAGTTTCAGGGGTATATCTGTAATTGCCAGTTATGCACAAAGTCCCATGACACAAAGAGAAAGGTGAGATCATACACATCTGTCTGACCCTTCTATAACCTCTCTACTTTCAGTTCAAATGTTTCTGGCCCCAGAGGGTCAGGGCAGTCCCTTACCAGCCTCTGCACCAACTTCACATGAATCCTCAATGTCAAAATCACATCTATTGTCATTTCTAGAGAACTGTCATTTCTAGATACAGGGGACAGGAAGTCTGGAAACCATTGAAAAGTCTGGAAAAATTCTGGAGATGTTTGTTATAAGTGGTGTCATTTATTGTTATAATCCATGACATTGGCCAGATGTTACAAACCTTGTAGTGTGAAAGAGCCCTAGCACCTGATGCCACCCTCAAGCCCAAGGGGAGAAGGTTGTGAAGACATTTAGCTTGTAAGGTCTTGAACAGACAAGAGACTCTGCTAGTTGAGACCTCCTATCTGAGAGGTCAGACAGCCACTCATCACACCAGATCACCACAGCCTCAAAAAATCATCACTCTTCCTCAGGAGGGGCAACCACTGGGCACACTAGGAGAGAACAGCACCTTCACTGCAGATGTAGTAGGCAAGGCAAAGCCAAAACTGAAAGACCTCCCAGCATGAAACAGCAGAGCTGCAGATGAGTTAGGAGAGAACTGGAGGTCAAAACAGCACAGGATGTCCCGGGGGCACTCCACACTTAGCAGACTGTGAACAATTAAATAGGTATATTTTATTGTTGCTTGTTTCATATTAATGTTGGCTGTTAGTGTGTGTTGTTTGGGTAATGAAGGTGTAAAGAAAGGTAGGATGCTCTGGCACAAGGCAGCTGGACCTCTCTCTTTGGGACTGAGGAGTCCCTGTTATACATGTTACCTACTGAAACTGTTTAAAGCTGTTTCCTGGCAGGCTTCTGGGCTCTGCCTGATGGCTGAGAAGCAAGCCTACAGCATCATCTGCAGCTGTAATACCTCTGGAAATAGTTTTTTTTCAATAAGAAACTTGTTTCACTTTTACAAGAAATGAAAGGCTTTTTGACTGTTGCTCAGCATGTGTTACCTGACATGCCACGAGCCAGCATGCCAGTGTTACCCAGCAGCCACGAGGAGAGTCAGGCAGGGAGGAACTGCTCTGTGTACTGAGATGAACTTTCTCATTTTGCCAAGTCTTGGCAGACAGGTAAATTTTTTAAAGGTGATATTTGCTTCTAAATGCAACACGTAACTCGTTTTGCTGCAGTCTATCCATCTAGCGTGCTATGCTTGCGAGTACAAACTTACCAGTACCAGTTAACGTGACTCAGAATTAACAAAGAAATATGTGTTTTTCTATCAGAGAAAGAGTGGTTCACATTAAAATATTTCAAAGTATTCTGCAGTTCTCTCAAAGTTTGAAGATCCCTGTTCCTTGCCTGCTTAAATATAAAGAAGTGGAGCTTAATGATACATTTCTGCATAATTGAAAATGCTCAAACACAGGTAGAAAGACAAAGAGAAAGAAAGCTAACTGGAAGTAGTTTCCCAATATGTGCAAGCCACTTGGTCTTGGCCAACAGAACCTGCAGTTTCAACTCATTTAGGCAATCTGGAAAATTCATTCTGGATATGAAACATGCTTACTGGGCAGCTGCAGGGCCTGTCAATTCTGTGCTGCAGCCAGCCCTCAGGAAAGAGAGTTCTCTCAGTGTCTGCAGCCAGTGTCCTTGACAGCTTCCAGTCCTCATCTCCTTCCAACAATAAACAAAAGCATAATGAAACAAGAGCAGCTAATGCAAACGCCCAAAAGCTGATTTTGGAACGAGGAGCATGAGATCAGAGAAGTGCAAGCAGCATCTCCCCTCTCCTCCAAGTACTTTACAGCCTTTAGCACCCCAGACACATCCTGAGCCAGACTGGTTTTCTGTGTATTCAGTAGCTCTCAGGGGAGTTTCTCTTCCATGAATTCGTTCAACCTTCTCTCAAAGCTGCACTGGTGATCAGTGTTTTCTACGCAACCAGTCACACCAAGGAAAAAGAGAATCAATATTCACTTTGGTCATGGCCTTTCCAGTACTCGGTCATTCCCTGATGTGTCTTTGTGTTAACAACCCCATGTGAGGATAGGAATGAGATCAGCAGCTGCCAGCAGGGCCCTGTGCCATAGATATTTCCAGAAAATATTTTTTCTCTCTCTTAAGGGCATGGAGTGCAGCTGACACTTCTGTCCTGTTATTACACCTTTTTCTGTGCATATAATGCATCTAGCAAATACACATTAAAGTAAATATAAGGAAAAAAAAAATCTTACAAATGAAACCAAAAAGCCAAATCAACATGAAAAGTGCATTGGTGAGATTTTGTGCCATGTATATATGTGTATGCTAGTGTTTAGTAATATGCAGAAATTACAGATATGACTTGAGCCTTCTAAGGCCTTATGCTAGTTTCTCCCTCTGTAAAATAAAATTCTCAGTGGAGGAAGCATGACATGAAAGAACTAAGAATTGTGATGATGATGGTCATTATTACTGACATTTTTCCTTTCATATTTTAATTTGACAGAATTAGCTAAATACCTTTCCTAAAAGAATGAACCTGAATTGAATTCAGTTGAGTTGCTGAGTGAAAGAATTAATTATTTTCTTAATTTCCTCTAGGAAAGAAAGGTCTCTGCATTACTTGTACATGCCATCAAACTAAAACAGTGTGAAGAAGTATGAGTTACTCAGCAGTGAAATGTTATAGAGTAAATGGGAGGCAACTGTTAAAAATCCTCATCTGAACAGCCAAGGAGAAAATTCTTTCATGATACATGTAGGTGACATAATCCTGGGAACACCCTTCCCACAAGTGTGGGCCTTCTTTGCAGATTCCCCAAGGAGATATCTGCACATCATTTGCCAGCATGGCTGTAGATTTATGTCTTTGTTTTCTTAGAAATATGAAATTTTGTATATTCATTGATTTTCAGTCTAGAATTAAACAATTACAATCAAATGGTACATCAGTCCTTATAAACTTGCCACAGACTTTTAAGTTCTTCCCTCAAGTTCATATTTTCTGGCTGAACTGAAGCGTGTCTTCTGCAATTAGAAAAAATAAAAATCAAGCATTGGTTTAAAGACATCAGGTATTAGAAAACTGTCAGACAGAATCTGATTCTTGGTCTGAGTTATCTTGTGGTTTTCATCATGAGGTTCATCAGTCCCCGGGCATCTGTGAACTACCCCTTATGGGATCATGAAATGTAATTGAGGAAATGAAGTTCTTTGTCTCTACATAGTAATTGACCTGTGTAAAACGTCCTTGAAAACTTATCTTTCCATTGAAAGAAGTTGAAGAATCTATAAATTTAAAAAATTACTTACCTAGTGTGTAGAAGTACCAGCATTAGACCCTTCAGAGAACGATGCAAGCAGTCCCATACTCTGCAATTATAAAGTAATGTGTCAGAAGGGGATATTATTCCTATCCCAACCTTTCATGAAGCTTGTTTATGCCCTGAAGCACAAGTTTCTTTCACTTACTTTTTGAGACAATTTCTATTCCATGCTGTAACTCAGAGTGGCTTTTTGGAAATCACTAGATTAGTGATCAGTTTTCTAAATACCAGCACAGCATCTGACATCCCTTTCTTCAGCATTATCCTTCAATAAATTACATAAATAGATTGTATCATAGATACAGCAGTTACTATATATCAAAAGAAGTAAAAATTTGCCCAATTCTCATACTGATATCCCAGTCTTACCTGGAGAGGCAAAGATGGGATGTGTCGTGCTGGAAGCTGTCTCCACAGGCACTAGGGAGAAGAGGCTGAGTTGTGAGACAGTTTGACTTCCACCTTGGTGGGACTGTTATCAGACACCTGTGTGGAGACCTCAGCAATTTTCCTACTCCTTCTCTGTCTGAAGTCTGATCACTTTTGGTCTTGATGCTTCTACTGGCATCTTTTTCACTGCTGTGCGCTGGTCATCTCATCCTTCTCATGTCCTCAGTCTTGACATTAATAGGCATGCTGATGAGGAAGGCACAGGCCCAGACCTAGCCTTTGGGGAGAGAAAAAAAAATTAGAAATGAAATAGATTTTGAAGTAGGAAGTACTTTTCCTATGTTGAAGAGTCACAACAGTTCCAAAATGAGAAGGCATGTTTTAGTGATTAGTTGCAGTTAATCCTAAGAATGCTTTAGGCTTTGTCATAAGTCAAACACAATATCCTCTCCTCCTTTGAGAAGTGAGATATGGGGTTTCAAAGTGGAAGAACAAAAGCTTTACAAATGAGGTATTTGCAATAATTCCTCCACAGCAGTTATCTACACTACATAATATTCCACCTAAAACAGAAATCTGCCTTGAATAAAAGGAAGAAAATGACATTAGAATAGACAAGACATATCTAAAACCTGCATGTAAATCAGAAGTTCATTAGGAGAGTATGCAGAGAAGCTTTTGGAAGGTAATTTTGCTACTAACTAGTTTTTCCAAGAATGAAGTAAGGCTTTCAAAAGCATCATTGCTCTAAGTATTTCAAATTATCTACTCTACCTGATACTATCTCTTCTCATAGAGATTACAAAGCACTTAAATTTTTACCCACTTTGTTACAGAAATCCCCAAGGAAGGTTTCAATCCATTTGCAAGCACTGCTCTGAGAAGATAGAAGTTTTCAAAACTTCCTCCAGCACATCTAGAGTTAAATGCTTTTTACAGTATTGCCTCTGTATCATAAAGTTCTTTGTTCAGGAACTTACCACTGAGTCATGCAAAAAAAACCCACTCTGGACCAAAACTCAGTCTACAAGGGTTCAGCCAAGAAACAATATTTCCTGGCACTTTGTCCCTTTCTTTTTTCTAGCACTGAAATAGAAAAAGATTCTAAGTGCTCTACTGTTTCCAAGCATGAATGTGCTCCTATTACTCATAAAATTACTTTAATTTTAAAATGAAATGGTGGGAGCTTATAGCTGAGATTGTTGATAATGTTTCAAGCATCAGGCAAGCTCCACCACGCTGGCAGTCACAGATGGCCCAGCCATCGTTCAGAGGCGTGCACATCCCCCTATGACATCTCTCATTTTGTAGCGGTCCAAACACTCACTTTTATTTAGGCAAGTCCACCTTTGGCACCCATAGGGGCATGTTATAGCAAGGGTCATTAAGGAAGGTATTGCTCAGTTTCTGTCTCTCCCCATAGCAAGTGAGACCCACTTTTGCAGTGTGGAAACATGTACTTTGTAGGGACACAAAAGGGCTGGGACATCTTATCCCTCTCACAGCCCAGAGCTGCACTTAGCGGTGTGACTGTGTTTTATTTTGGCTTTCCACGGAACCACACCAGACTCGTCTGCTTGCAGCATTTTCTAGCAAGGTTGCTTCTCAGGGGAGCTGAAAGGGTTATGGATCGAGGCAGGTGAAAGCTGGCTCAGCTTCAATCAAAACCATTTCTTGCTACAGTTTTGTACTGACAGACAAGGGGTTTTGCTGCATTCTACTTTGTGTGCTGAAGTTAGAAGAACTCCAAATAACAAAAAAAAATTAAAAAAATTTTAAAAACTTAAAAAAAAAAATGCAGAGGAGAAAACTTGTGTGGAAAAAAAGACCAAAGAATGAATCTTCCTATAAGCTCCTTTACGAGCACTGCTGCCTGCTGTGCTTTGAACACAAAGGTTAAAATCCACAGGTAAAAAATCCAGGCATTCTATGGACTGGAAGAGCTTTCCCTTTGGCTTTGGTGTACCTAAGCTTCCAGGCAAGGTCACTACTTTTCTGTCTTACAGGCTTGTACATGCCTGCAAAGTTCCTGCAAGTCACAGCAGCTGTGTGAGGAATCCACGTGCCATTCTGAGCAGAGCTGGAGGAAAGGGACAGCAGAGAAGTTGACAGAAAATGGTCTGGTGGAAGGTGTCCCTGCCCATGGCAGGGAGGTGGGAAGCAGAGGATCTTTAAAGTCCCTTCCAATCCCAGGCATTTTATCATTCTATGAAAATACACCATTGTGGTAAAGCGGGCAAATGTCTGTATTACTGTGTTTGGCTGCTTCCTCTCCCAATTGCATCTTCTGCCTGCATGAATACATGGCTGAATCAAGACTATCTGTGAAACTGATCAACAGCACAACAGTAGAAAAGGTGACACAATTAGGGCATCCTGGTGGCCTATGTTCAATGCAGCTGGCAGTCATCTGGGAGAGAAAGTTGCTCACCAACTTCTCTGGGGCTGGTACATGAAGGAGTTTCTCAACCCAAAGCACAGCCTCAGGAAAGACTAGGAGCTTCTGAAAATGGTTGTGTTGTATTAAAAACTGAGGGAATCACAGAGCTAGAGGGACAAATACCCAAATCCCTTAAGATATGGCATCTATTTGACCTCTCACAGAAATAACGTTGCATTCAGAGAGAAAGCAAAACATTTTTAGTGTTCTTCCATCATTGCCTCTTGCATTTACTCCAGCACGTTATATTTGGTGTGGTTGTTTCTGTAGGAGAGCTACTCTCTAACAACTGTCATCGCGTAGAAGCAGCAAATCTCCTGGGGGTTTAAGGCAGCTTTTATTTAGACCCACACTTTGTTATGATACCAAGTTTAGCCTCAGCCATGTTGCAAACTGAAATCCCAGTGTCTGTGGCTGCCCACAAGGTAAAAGTCCACATTTCTTTGGTTTCACTGTATTTCACAGTATCACTGCCCATGCAAAACTGCTCCTATTAATCCAGATCGTTGACTGCAGATCAGATGTCTGGAGATGGAGAGAGAGGGTGGTGGCAAAGACAGCATGCAGTGCACACTGATGGGGACAAGTAACAACTGCGTAGTTGTCAGCACAGAGAAAGGGATGCTCATCTTGCAGGCGTGATATTTGGGACGGAAGGATGGAAGATTGATTTAACTTCTTTGATGTGCCATATCTTTCTGGTAAAGGTTTAAATGCTATTTCTGGCTGCCACATTGATTTTCATTACCATGGATCCCCTTTTTGAGGTGAAGACTTTCTCTCAAAGGAGTTTCCTAAATGTTTTTAGCTTGTGGTAATGTTATATTTTAAATTACAGCACAAACACATGCACACATATATGCACCAACTCATACTATCTGTAGGAGATCTGTGTATGATACTGTGCAATTTTAGTTTTCAATCACAGCAGCATTTAAATTATGGATTTGCTTAAAAAAAAAGAAAAAAAGAAAAGAAAACAAAACATAACTCATCCAACATGCAAATACAACACCCTGTCTTGTTTGCTCCTGTTCCATTCATCTGGAGATTTGGAGGTATTAAGTGACACAAGACTTTTGAATCTGCCCCCTCAGAAACTCTGACAGCACAGAACATGGTGCGTTCTCCATTATTATTTCAAAATATCAGCTTGCACACTCCAGAACTATTTAAGAAATACTGATTTAATTGTACTCCTCCACATTTTTGCAACTGCCATCTTTTACTGTGAGTGTTAATATGCTGAGTGGGACAACGGTGCTGCTTTGCTGCTGTAAAGAAAAATCTTTTTCCTTGTGAATTCCAGGAATGGCTTCTTTCTGCTGTTTTAGCTGTTTCATTTAACAAATAATCTTTGCAATAGGAGAATTTGGTTCATCACGCAGGTTCATGTTCTTTATAACTGTAAAATAATAGCAGACAGTTTTCCCCGTGTGTCAGTGCTTTTATTCCAGTCAAGGTTGATAAAATATTTCTTGAAGAGAAACGTACAACTCAGTCTGTGTAAGAAACTGTGCTGCTGCTGATCAGCACAAATGTGGGGGTGATATTCCAGTGTAGTGCAGTCCCATCCCTGTACAAAGCTGCCTTCATGCAACCCTAAGCTGGCACAGCCTAGGCAGGGGCTTTCCTGAGGCACAGGCCATCATACAGGCATGTAGAACCCTCCTCTGCCTCCGTTGCAGGGACAGACAGAGGTGATGGCAAAAAACACATCCCATCAGTAAACCTCCCAGTGGTGGTTGGGTCAGATCTGCAAGTTCGTGTCAGTGCTGTATGTCAGAGCAAGCCTGCAGGATGAGTCTGCTGTAATGGTGCTGGGGTGGTTTCAAAACTGGTCATTAAACCTCTCTTTCATGAGAATAAATGATCCTATGTGCATACACCCATGTGCACATACTCACATACACACACATTTTTTAGACCTTGCCAGTACTTGGGGTTTGGCTGGTGGTGCTTGATAGGAGACCAGTGAAAGTTCTTATGGCTGAGATGAAAACCATGCATGATGTTACCCCTGGAAGAACTGTTTGGAGAAGCCTGAGTGTTTCCAGAATAGCACAGTTTCTCTAACACAGATACAAGCAAAGCATCAAGCTCCAAAGAGCTTCTTTTTTTAGGCTTGGATCTAAGGAGTTGGAGGTGGGGATAAGCAGTGGAAGGTTGACAATGACAAGAAGGCATTCGTTTGAAGGAAAATAATAAATCTACTAAACTCTTAAAGACTTACAGCATAAAGTCTTGGCAATCCCATCACTTTTCCCAAATACAAAAATGTCAGGATTCTGGTGTCTTTAGGAATAAAGAAATAGAAAAATGCTTAAGATTACAACACAGCATTTTGCAACATTTAATTATAATAAATACAACCCTATCTCGAAATACATGAAATATATTAAATAAATGCCTTTTTTTTTTTTCTTTTCTAGGCTGAAAAGCAGCAGTTGTTCCTGCCTAATCATATACACCAGCCACAGGATAGCACATGGAGGTCCTGACAGTGTAAAAATGCCACTGTAATTTTGTGGTAATTGCATTGTAATTTTAAGAAATGTCCTGAACTCTTAGTATCCCATAGAATACATATTGTTTTGTATATTCACAGACATCTAATGCCCCTGGGCTGGTTTTTGCCAGGGATTATCTCGGTTGTTGTTTTTCACTGCTCCCTGAAGGTTTCACAGACCTTCATAGGCAGTCTGGTGAGTTCAGTTCAGTATGTCCCAGTTCCTCTATGGGAAGAAAGGAAAGATATTGTTGTAAGACTCTGACATTTAGTTTTCCTAGGCATCAGGTGCTTCCCTACCCTCTAGACAGCTCAGTTCCCTGGCCTA